AAATTAGCCAAATCTTTCTTGCGTTATGTATTGATAATATTAACTATATTATTAAATTGATATTTTAATCACATTATTATATTTTATTATATTTAATTCACTTTGAAGTCATAAATTAAATTTGATAATTTATTTTATTTTTTAATATTAATATATAAAATCTTTCGTATTAAAAATTATACAAAATATCTTTTGTATTAAAAATTAATTAACATGTTTTAATATATTAATATGAATTAATTTAGAAATATACAGTGTGATTGATTGATCCCATTGATCCCAAAAATATAAAAATATAACCAAATTTATATATATTTATAGTTTTAAAAGTAGTTTATAAACTATTTAATAATAAAAATATTAAATGTGATATAGCTTGATAAATACTCAAATAAATATTGATTATTTTATTTTTTATTTAATAAACATTATTTATTTTAGCTAAATCCATTTTCTATGCATCACAATTTTTCGTATAACTTTTTATAAAGAATTTTTATAAAGAATTTAAGTGATTATACTTATATACTATTTTTCATTTCATCTTATTAATGTTAATAAAATATATTGATATAATTTATACAGAAATCAGAAATTTATGAATATATGTATATTCAATAATTTTTGTTAATATATTATTTTACATTAAAATGTTTTTTTCGTTTGATGCAATTAAAATTATAAATAATATGTAAGAATAATAATCTTTGATATATTATGCATTAATAATTTTTATTTTAAAAAGTGTCTTTATATATTTTTAAATGTATTTTAAATAATCGATTATATATTTACCGATTCTTTCTTTGACCATTTATTTATCTTTGTACACAGTGAAGGAAATCCAAGATTTGTATTACGTGGTGAATCAGTGAAATATTTATTACCATTTTCTTGGAGATTAATTGCTCCACTATATCTTGTTGTATCATATGCTGGTATAGGATTGATATTTTTTGCAGTAAAATTTGTTAACATTTCTTTAATTATAATGTTTTTAATATTGCATTATATTGTATATAGTTCCTTTAATAAAATTATTTTATAGTTAATAATTATTTATTAAAAATTGTATAATATGAAAACTTATAATTAGAATGTTATTCTATTAAATTTAACATTATCAAGAGATTTGTAAAAATATTTAATTAAATTATTACCGTTAAAATATTTCTTGTTTTAGTTTTAAAAAAGCAAAACTTAGATAAAATTATACGATAAAAATTAGAAATTTTACATTGTTTTTGTTAAAAATTTAAAATTAATATTTGTTTAAAGTTAAGAAATTTATATATTATTATAATATTTTATTTATTGATAAAAGTTTCTGTAAAATTTATTGGTAAATTTGTTTAATTTATATGTAAAATGACAGAATATAATGAATTGCTATGAAAAATATAAAATCGATATTATAATGCTACTGTTTCAGAGTAACTATGATTATATATATTTATATTTATAAATATTCATCATTTTCAATTTAATAGAATTATTTATATAATATTACAAAATATTATATATCATTTTTTAATATATTTTTAGAATTTTACATTCTAATGTTTTTTTTTAAGAAATTTTGTAAATGAAATAATGATTTTTGAAATTTGAAATTTTCATGAAATTTCAAAACAATTGTTTTATAAATCTTCTTAATTAAATATTCTATCATTATATTATCATACGATACATTATTGAAAAATATAACTTAAATTATAAAAATACTACTTTTTTCTTATAAAAAAATTATTTTATTATTATTTTATCATAATATAATTAATATATAGATAATAAATATGAAACTAATGTCATAGTTATAATGCAATTTTGATATTATAATTTATTTAATCGTTTAAGAGTTATTTTATATTTATTTTTATATTTTGTTTTCGCATTTCTGCGAAATGCCTAAATTCGCTATAAATTAATATATGAAAATAGTTTTTTGACCAATTCACTTGTTATTTTATATTGTTGATCTTTCTCAATTGATTTTTCATTTTAATAAGATAAAAGCTTTTTTTAAAAAACTGTATTAAAATAATAAAAATTGAAAAAAGTTACAATATTACCAAAATATAACGAAAGAAAAACTATAACTAAAGGAAAATATTATATGTTT